TCCGGAAATTTCTGTGCCTCTGCCAAGCAGGTTGGTTCTTTGACATGCTATAAAGATGGGTTCATGTGCACTCCATCAATTCATTAGGCTGCAAAACACCCAGGTTTCAGAACCTGCCCACTTGCTCAGAAGGGCTAAGTTGAAGTCTCAAGGAATCAGTTCAGATGTGTCCAGGTGAATGTAGTGAGGAGAGAAGAGAGCAGGCATTGGCTTATTTCCAGTGGGGACAGTGTAAGAGAAGAAGGAAGGCCAAAAGTGCCTTGGAGAAAGAACCCTCGCATGCTCCCCAGATGGCACAAAATGGGTAGAATCATCAGACCCAGCCAGCCCTAATACCCCACCTGAATACATGCAGTTGTTCGGGTGTCCAATGGGAGCACAGCAACTATGGGAAAGGTAAACCTTGAGTCACAGTTGCGATCAGATCAGGATATTCTTTTGTAAGTCCAAATCAGCTTTCTCTTTGATCTGATCCTTCCAACTCAGCTTTCAGTTCCTACAACCATTCCAGTGCTCTAGTCCTGTCTCAATATCCTTTTGACTCATTTCTTTTAAATTGCTAAAAGAATTATAGTCCATATGTTTCCAGGCTGCCCTAGTTCTAGAGGACAGAAACTGTATCTTAGTCATTTTTCTATTTTTCAGTATTGCGTGGCATATATTTAATTCGTCATCTTTCCACCTGGGAAAGATCTGCCTCCTTTTAGGAGCCACACTTTCGTCTAGAGTTACTCCTACTCTCCCTAATCCCCATCTCTAAATGATCCCATTATCCAGGACCTCAGATAGAGGTCATGGTTGATAAGGAATCAGATAAACTCTCTGTGTACAGATGTTAGCTTAGGACAACTGAAAGCATTTCCTCTCTTCAGTGAGTATGTAAAGGGACTCATTCAATAGCAAATAAAACCTTTAAGAATGAAAGCAGTGTGTGGCTGACAATGTACCAGAGGCCTGGGGAAGAAGACATAAAAAAAAGGAGATTTTTTTTTTTTTTTTTTTTTTTTGAGGAGGGGGTATACTGATTTCTCTTAGTAAGGAGTTGTGAGCATATTCCCTCTGCCTTCATACTGAATAGGCTTTTGAGTTAGATGAAGTGGACGCCCAGCTAGAAGTATTTGAATGCACCCTCTGAGTTTTGGTCTCCCCTGCAACACCACCCATCTTGGATATTTCATTCCTAATAAGAGACCCTCCTCACTAGAGGCAGGGAGCTGAGAGTAAACGTGGCCAGTGTCTCTGGCATTTTCCAAGTCTAAAAAGGTAAGGAATGATACAAATCAATAAAGATTTAGATTTCATATTCTTGCAATTCCCAATCCCAACACTGATGCTGAGCTGCATAAAATAGTAGGAAAGGCTATGAAGTCAAAATACTGGGCCTCTAAGCAACTTTCTTGATCATAAATTAGAGTCGCTGGGAAATCTCTCAACATCTCCGACTCACCACCCCAAACTAGCAAGTGACATAATGAACAGAGGTCCTATTTAGCACACAAGATTGTAATGAGGACCAAAGGAGACAGCAAATGCAAAAGTCTTTTGAAAAACATTAAATGCTACACAAAGTGGTGAATTTTAGTTTTATCTTTTGCAAAACATAAGATGAAGTAAGTGCCATTTAAAAACACTTGAAATATTGTTTGGTTCCCTTTTGTGTCAGATACTGATAGTATTTATTGGTATTCATTTCCACATTGTTTCTTTAATAACAGAACCCTCACACTTACCAAGGCACATGACAATCAATAATAAAGACATTCCCTAGCCTTATTTGCAGCTAGATGTGGCAAATGTCTTGGTTCTAACCCATGAGATGTGACTGGAAGCAATATGTGCAACTTCCCTCTATTTCCTCTCTACTATCTTAAATGTAAACATGATGGCAGGAGCTGCAGCAGCCATCTTGGTCCATGAGGTGGATGCAGCATAGTAGGATGACAGAGCAACAGGAGGGGGCCTAGGCTTCTGTAATGTCACACACCAGAGCTGTCAAACCAGTTTGCCTTTAAGTAAGAGAGAAATAGCTTCCATGTTAAGTCACTATTTTGAATTTCTGTGTTAAAACAACTGAATGGGAATTCTATCCAATCCATTTATATTTATTTTTAAATGATCTATTCTTATCTCCTCGCTAGGTCTATCTTGGGGACCTTCCTGCCAACATTAGTAATATCCCTGCTCAGATTTTTGAAAAAACTACCTTAAAGGCATAACAGAGTCCTCATACTTCAAACTTTTGAACAAACTAATTACAAGAAAGTTACCTTTTTCGATGAGAAGAAAGATGTCTTTATCATTTTTGATAAAAATACATGATATCCCTCTCTGTTATCTAACACTGATTGTTAATGTTACCAATTATTATGAGTGTTCTAATAATTCTTAGGGCAGTTTCATCCAGTTTCCAAGAGTAGGCTGCCTAAAAGCTAGAAGGAGACAGAATAGATAAGTGTGTATGTTAGTCCTTAATAAAACACACACACACACGTGTGCACGTATACGCAAAGATGTCTCATCTCAATCTCCAGTCTGGGTAGTGGAGCTGTCATTGCCAAGAGAAGGGAAAGAGCTGCAGGAGTCAACAGGATGTAGAACCCTTGGGGACTGTTTTTTTTCTTTTTTGGCTTTTCTTGGGCTTTTGACACTGATGTATCTGGAGTTGATTTGGTTTGGGACTTAACACTCCTGACTTCCATGGATCCCTGGGCCCAGACGCCTTCTGCTGGCATCACTTCCCTGAGCATCATTCAGCATGGAAGTGGGCAGCCAATTTTTGGAGAATAAACTGCATTCCTACTTCTCCATTTCTATCAACATAGGACCCCATGGGTCTGACAAGCTTGCTGCTTTAGAATGAAATTATATGAGGGAGGAAGCCCATGTCGGTCTTTTTAATTTGCTCAGCACTGGCCTGGGGCCAACATAAAGAGCTGGCTCCCTCTGAACATCCTGATACCTGGTCTCAAGTGGAGCCCCATACATCATGCCTTCAGCAGAAGGCAGCAGAAGCCTTTGATACCAATCCCGAGGTGCCTGAGGAACAGTGTGAAGTGAGCAGGGGCTGCCTCCAAGTCTCAGCTATGCATGAATTCCTCGCCAAAATTTTAAAGTGAGTTTAAAAGAAACAGTCCGAATGCTTTATAACCTGTTTTGATTTTCCACATGACAAAACACTGGATTGTTATTGTGTGTGTGTGTGTGTGTGTGTGTATGCCTGTGCACACGCGCATGTGTGCATGTGTATGTCACAAGCGTAGGCAGAAGGATAATTTGCAGTCCTGCTATTCTAGGCAGAACATTAGATCCTAACAATGAAATGAGAAGCTGGAGAGATAGCCCCTCATTAATCCCAGCTGCAATCCTCCTTCACTTCTTACCTTAGGAACAAATCATTGAAAATGGAGAAATATTTTGTGAGCCTAATCTCTACCAAGTAACAAGCAATATTTACTTGGCCTCCTTTAATTTACCCTTGCATAAAACACAGCTTTCTAAAAAATCATCAATCTCTCAGCTCATTGATGGCTCAGTGATGTGGAGAGGGCTGGACTGACCCAAGGCAGCATGGCTCTGGGTCACTGTTAGCGTGGCGCTGTCACAGTTGGGCTACCCGCATGGGTTAGAGACAGATGCTTCTGGGCAATTGCAGCTGGCTTCTTGCATCATTGGCAGGAAGCTTTAGGCAGGATGAGCCCTTATTCCACATGGATATGGTGATGGAGTAAAGAGAACTTGGCCTTTGCAGTCAACTAGACCTAGCTTACAACCCATAGAGGAGCTACTTATTTTCTGTGGGGTTTGACTTTTCTCATCTATGAAATGGAGCCTAACAATATCCATTCATTGTGCAGAATATATTCAAGGTATGAAAAGGGCCTCCCCCAGTTCCTGGAACAAGGGAGCCACCCAATAATGCCTTCCCTTGCACCCCAGATGAAGCTGAGCACAGTGAGAGAAGCATCTCCAGATGTCTGTCTGGTGGAGCCGCTGGACTCCCCTCTATGCAGGTGAGCACTCCATGAATGCTTGTGGGCTGATTGACTCACAACCCCAGAGAGAGTATCCGGAGGCTGAGAAGTGGCTTAGATAAAGCTGGCTTAAACATCAAACATGTTGGATATCAATGAAATAGGCTTTTCAATCTGATTTAGGGGTTTCACACATTTTGCCTTCAGCTCCTTGAAGGGATTGATCAGATCAATCTGCTGAAAAACTTCCCACTCATTCTGATCCTCCTAATAAATGCTAGACAAAGGCTTTCTCTTCTTTCTTCCATACATATCCCCTTATTATTCAATACAATTCTTGTTATTGCAGTTGGGATTGTGAAAAGGTGAAAATAAGAACTTGGCAATGCAGCACACTTCTTTCCAGTTTTAGACACTCTGGCCTGATTTACTGGCTGTGGCCACAGTCTAACAACAGGTAAAGACGGCGTGGGAAGAAAACAGTGACCAGGCTGGAGATAGTCAAGATGCTGGGAGGCAGAGTCTGTCTAAACGCCTGGGAGAAGCAGCCCATGAATGGTATTCCATGTCTTCTGGCCTAATTCAGAGTTCTTATTCATTTCGTGACCTCAAATTTATTTTTGAACTAAGTTCCTATTCTTTGGGCCAAGGTTTTTAAAAAAAACATCTTTCTCTCTGTGGTGGCAAAATTTCAAGACTGGTAGTACCCCATTAAAGAAGATAACTTCTCCATAAAGGTTAAACTTTGAAATATTTCCTTTAAAATCTAAGGTTATGTAGCCAGTTTAGAAATGCTAGGCATATATATTGATCTTCCTGATATTTTTTTCTCTCTCAATTTATCATTCATTCCTCACATTGCAAGTAACAATGGTAAAGTGAGACCCCTTTAGGCATTAGCAAATAAGAAGTTTTCTCTTAAATGCTCCGATCAACGTTCATTTCTCAGGGGCCACAACCTCACCTGTCCTGGACCCACTCCCCATTCCCTAAGAGATGGAAGGAAAAGCATGGCTTAAGGTCCGGATTTTGCAGGATGTGGGTCTCTAGCTATGGTCGTTAATGGGATAATTTTGTTTCAAAACAACTGCAACAACAAAACACATTACTTGTGATTTAAGTCACATTCAAATAGAGTTCAAAGATGCTAACCAACAGCCTAGTGAGGGTTGGCATAAGACCTCATCTAAGAGCTGAAATGTTTTTCTTTGTCTCTCTCTTTATGCAGACTGGTATTCTCATAATGGGAGAGAGTATGACATAGACCAGTTTCAGCAGAACATCCAAGCCATAATTTGGCTTTTCATGCATGCCTCTGTGGGTTCCTGGTACACAAACTATTCTATGCTCCTTCAAAGGAGATCAAAGGAACTGTCTGCTTTTGGTGCTGCTATCCTTGGCCTTCAAAATGATCTATATGGGATGCACTCCTACCCTACTTAATATCACCAATTTCAAAACATCAAAAAAAAAAAAAAAAAAAAAAAAGAAGAAGAAGAAGATGGATAATCTCCAGCTGGATAAAAATGAAGACAAAGAAGGAAGCAGATGTCCACATCAAGTACACACAGCCAAATGTCCTCAGAACGGCCCAGCTTCTCCGAGGTAACTCAACAGAAGGTCAGTGTGCCTGCTCATCCTCCCCCTCCTGAGAGAGGAGAGGGCAGGGGGTCACCATCTCACCACCTGGCTGTTGTAGTCCTCAGTGACAGTCCCCTCTGCGGCCCCATCCTCTTTGGGCCACTGGTGGCCCCTGTGCTCCCGCTGCAGCCTCCGCTCCTCCCGCCGCTTCTGGCGGTCCCTCTGGTGCTCTAGCTGCTTGGTGTGGTGGTAGCGCTGCTGGAAGAGATCTTTTGCATATTCGTAAAGCTTCATGTCCAGGAAGTTTAGCTCCTCAATGCGTTGGCGGGCACCCTCATTGATCTCCACGTTAGAAGCCCGCGTGATGTTGAACTGCGTGAAGGGGGAGATGAACTTGAGGTTGAATGTTCTCTCAAAGAGAAACTGTGTCTTCCTCTGGAACTCAGTGAGCCCAAAGAAGGCCATGTTCTTCAGGTTGTTCTTTGCACTCTGCAACAGGATGGTGTTTCTTTCACTTTCGTTCATGAAAGTCAAGTTGTAGCAGCCCACTAAGCTGAGGTCAGCCAGCATGCGCACCTGGCGATTGTTGGCCAGATTGTAGCTGCAATCCATAAATTCCCGCAAGCTGACCCCAGACCAGTCATCCCCAGGGTAGCAGGTAGGCAGCTCATCGGGGGTGGGGCTTCTTCCATCACACATGTGAAGAGAGGTTTTCCACGTGGCCCCTCTCTGGACGTGTTTCCACTCACTCAGGTAACGCGACACTGGGTCCCGTAACATTGTGATGTAATAGAAATTCCTAGAAGAAATTAGAGGAAGAGTGTCAGTAGTTGACAACTCTAACAGGAGGGATCTTAACTTCTATAATTTTACATCAGCACTGAGTCAAGGGACTCTTTTGCCAAATGTCCACGTGAGAGTATTTGCCTGCTTTTGTGCCTATTGATGTATGCATATGTTTCCATAAGATATATACACCAGTGTTCAATACTTAGTTTGTTGAGCTTTTTCCTCCTTGCTCCAGTGTGGGGAGGGATGGGGTAGAAAGAATAGATAGTTCATTTCTTCATTCATTCAGCAATTATTCACTGATAGATTACTACTGGCAATAACGATACCTTACACTTAGAGAAAACACCATGATTTTTAAAAGTTATTACCCATCTGTTTCATTTGATCCTTAGAGCAAAGCTTTGTGGTAGATGGGGTTCTACCTGATAGGGTTACATGAAGGAGTTGAAGTGATTTACCCAAGGTCATGGTACTAGAAAGAAGAAGGCCGAACCTGTATTCTCCTTAATCTTTCTCTTTTTTATTTTTCTGAGAGGGAGTCTTGCTCTGTCACCCAGGCTGTAGTGCAGTGGCACAATCATGGCTCATGGCAAGCCCTGCCTCCCAGGTTCAAGCGATTCTCATGCCTCAGCCTCCTGTGTAGCTGGGATTACAGATGCCTGACAGCACACCCAGCTAATTGTTTGTATATTTAATAGAGATGGGGTTTCATGATGTTGGCCAGGCTGGTCTTGAACTCCTGACCTCAGGTGATCTACCCGCCTCAGACACCGAAAGTGCTGGGATCACAAGTGTGAGCCAGTGTGCCTGCCCGCCTCCTTAATCTCTTTATACTGCTGTTTGAGATTATGAGGTAGGTGGGTTGAGGAAGGATGAGTTGGATGTGAAGACTAATATTTATCGGACTCCTACAATGTGTTAGGAACTGTGCTACATGCTGTATGGATGTTTGCACAGATGATCCTCAAGACAACTTTGTAAAATGGGTTTTATCATTACTTTTTAAAATAAAAGCTGAAGCCACAGACGTTCAGAAAGGTGAAAAATACAGCCACAAACCCTGGAGCAAGTTAATACCTGACCTGCAATCTAAGTCAGGCCTATTTGATTTCAAAGCTCCCATGCTTTCCTGTGCATCATATTAGTATTTAAATTGTAATTTCTATGTATTGAGCACCTATTAATTTTAGGGTCTGTGATTATTACAATCACAGATCTCACCTAATGCCATCTAATGGATTACTGAAAAGAAACCTATTATTAAATGGTTCTCTTTAGAATAATCACATAGAGATTAGGATACCTGTGGTTTAAAAGGACAAGGGAAGAGCAAAGAGGGAGGAAGAGAGATGGAGAAGTTGAGAAATGAAAGAGAAACAGTAGGCACTACAGGAAAGTAAATATTGGTTCAAAATAAGGAAAATCCTTTCCATGAATTGAGAAGCCTACAGATGGAATGGTATGTAAAATAAGCTGTCCAAAGTTATATTGGTAGTAAGTTATAGAATTTGGATTAATCTGGACTGATTTACTTAAAAAATAGTCACTATATTATAATAAAGGAAAACCTCCTATTTTGTAGGAAAAACTCAACCTAGTATGTGTGTAACTTGGCCAAGCTAAACTGAATTAAAAAAAAAATGCATACCAACTAAAAGCAACTTTCAAAAAATGAGAAATGGAAGAGTACAATGTTATTCTGCTTTTAAAGAGGAATTGATGAGCTACAATATTTAAAACTATAAGTTTTCTATATTCTATTATCTTGACTGTCTAGTCTTACCCTTTGGTAAGCCAGGCAGTTTTGGAATGTGCTAAAGAAACTCCACAATCTTTAAGTAACATTCATTTTCCTTTAAATCAGGAGGTGAAATTTATTGAAACTGCCAAGGACAGAATAGTCTGAGCTCTTGCTTTTGCCAGTCACCATTTTCCATGACTCTGTTGTCTTTCGCTGTGACAGAATGACAATTTCATCAGTGTCCAAAAATTTCCCAAAAGGTCAGCAGGGAAAGCAGAAAATGACTGACACAGCTTCTGGGCTTCAAGAGGAAATACTCATGATAAAGTTTTGCCCAGAGAGGATATTACTATAGCTGAATATCATATGGCATATCATTATTAATCCTGCTTTAGTCCTATGTTGGGACTTGTTCATGTTTCAGGCTTTTGTCTCAGTTGAGAAAATTGGCCACGGACCTTCCAGTACCTTCATTCCACTGCACATCTTCATTCCACTTAATCTCAAAGCTGACGAAAACTGGTTTAGGCTTCAAATGGTTTTGGGTCCAAATTTAACTTTATTCAGTTTAACATTGTGTCCAACATTGACAAGCTAAATTGTAGGACGACATTTACATGAATAAAATAAGTCCTAAAGGTTTTGAAGTTCTGCCAGCCTTGGGGGTCAATTTGAAATTAACTCTTTTCTGACATCAAAACAGAAACGTCTTAGTGGAACATATTCATTGATGAAGTAGAAAGTCATCCTATCTTACGGTTCTGAATCTGAGTAGCTAAAAGCACCTGGAAATTGCTTTAGACAGACATGTTCTCACGCACATGTTGTTTGTTTCCATCCTGCAAAGCAGACTAAATAGAAAGTTAGAAAGTAATAATAAACCAATAGGATTGAAGAATTCAATAATAAATGATGAACCAATAGGGTTGAAGAACACTCAAATATTGAAGGAAACAGAAAACAACTGAAAGTGTGATTAATTAAATCATTTTTCTCATATCAATTTTTTCTCTTTTTTCACTTGCTTCTCTACTTTCAGACAGAAAACTACTCAAGTCATTGTTAAAATGATGTCTGTCTCCAGGCCACACGTCCAACCTTCATTGTTGACAAGCTCTGCTTTGGTTTCATGAATCTCCTCCCCACTCACTTTCCCCTGCTCCCATAGCTCCCAATTCAGTCTCTAATGAAAGCACTTAAAGGATCCAGTAATACTGAAATCTCCAACTTTATTTTTTAGGTCTTACTTGTTCAACAGTGCAATGGGGTTGGGAAATCATTTTTTAAGTAGGTAAAATGAAGACTAGAGAGGAAGGATGAGTAGCACCTGAGATCTGTGTGGCCACAATACAGAAAACCTTCTGTTCCGTTTAATTCAATCTCCTACTCATAGACAATATCACTTGTTTGTATATTTTCCCTTATGGTTAACCTAAGCTCTTCCCACATAGTGAAACAATAAATAAGCAAACTCCTATGCCCCCCCCACCTTCAATCCATCTGTTCATTCATTGATCAATTTTCCAAACTTTAATTAAGCCCCATCTGTTTGCCCAACACTTGGGACTAGGCACTGAGGACTCAAAGTCTAATATGTCATTGTCCCCAAGGAGATTTTGGGCACCCAGTGATTTTGGTAAAGTGAAAGAAATGCGAACTACCAACTTAAGCGAATGTTACACCAATATCCCTGGCCCAGAGCAGTCCCTCAGACAGATAGCTTTGTTTGCCTTGGTGACAGCATCTTGTCAGCAGATCTTCCATTTGTCACCTACTCGCTGAGAGTTTGGGTGAATGCATTTAAGAATGTCTGTAAAGCAACTGGAGCCCTTTAGAATTGCTGTTTGGTGGCCATGAGGGTAATGAGGACAAATACTGAGAGCGATTAGGGAATAACGTTAAGCCAATAATCATTTTTAACTGGTAATTATCATATGGGCTGGCAGGGCTTACTAAAGTTCCACCAAATGGAACACACATATTTCCTTCATGGTTTCAAACCGCTTGTAGTATCTTGTTCTGCTGTAAGGTGATTATGCTAAAAAAAAAATCCTAAATACAACACAAAGGCATTACTGCCTTCTCTTACTTTGAAAGTCTTTCCCTTTCTTTGCTCTTTGGTATCCTGGTCATCTTCCCTGGCACAGCTCAAGGCTCACATCCATTTTCCTTCACTTTCCAGCCTAGAGTTTACTGTATCACTTACTGCACTTTTAACTTAAATGTAGCTGTCTTGGCCACATCTACCCTCTAAGTTCCTTTTTGATAACCCTACCTTAGGCCTCAGATCCCTAGCAAAAGTCCCAGCACCTACTGCAAAGCCCTGCTCACAGCACATGTTCAATAAATGATTGCTATGTAAAAGAAAATTATTACATGAAATAAGTATATTTTAATAACCAAGTCTAATATTGCCTTTGATAAATATGCCTTTATTTCCTCTCCTAAAACTAAAGTGAGAGATTTTTAAATGCCTAAAATGTGTGCAAAGAGTAAAAAGATACATAATCTTCTAATGCACTTGTCATTTGATTGTGATGGTTAGTGATATGGAGAGAAACAGTCAACACAGACTCAGAGCAAAAAGGAGAATATTTTAAACAACAAGTAATTAGTAACAATGAAGTTTTTTTTTTATTTTTAAAATTAAATTTGCTAGGTTTCTTCCCTACTGTTTCAAGAACCTATGTTTCACTGAGCAGTTTATTGTATAATTTGTTCTCTTCCTTAATTAGCAAGTCATTTAATTAACACATGCTTATTGAGGGTTTGCTATGTGTAAGGAACTGCTGGAAATGTTGAGAACATAAAAAAAGAAGAAGAAAATGCTCTCAGGTATTGCTGCAGAAGTGTGATAGAGTAGAAAAACACATTCATTAGCAAGCTACAGAGGTCAGGAGTAGACAAAGAATACTTAAGAGAGCTCTTCAAGAATGTACCTAGAGCAGAGTACCCCGACTTGACCAAGAAGCTCATGTTTTGCATTTCACTAAACGTGCATTTAACTGAATGAATGAATGCAAGGATGGTATAAACTGGAGCAGAATGTTGAGACCCAATTGCCATAGGCTCTGAATGTGATTGTGAATTGCTAAAATTGAAAGTGTTAATTTAGAAAGACTCATTCAGCAATTGTGTGAAGAGCTCTATGTAAAGTAGGTAGAGACCACAGGAGACATTCAGCAGCCATGGTAAGAGACTGGCAGGGATAACCCCAGAATGTGGGTGTTGAAGAGAAAGAATCTGAGACAGATTCAGGAAGTGCCAT